TGGGAGGAGGATGAGGGGACCCTGGGACTTGAGGGACGAATGGGAGGGGAAGGACTCTTCTGATGGGGACTGGGTGGTGGAATATGTGCTGTCTTTTCACTGAGCTCATGGGTTTGGCCAGGGAGAACCTAGCCTGGGCCCAAGGGAAACAGGAGGTTGGGTGCGACCGCTCACTGCGTGCCTGCTCCTATGGTACTCGGGACCAGGGGATGGTTCTCATTTCCATTCAGAAGAATAAGAATAAGAATCTCTAGGCTGCCTGGGATGGGCCCTTTGAGGCCATCAAGCAGCAGAATGAGGTGAACTATGTGGTGGAGCTGCCCAACCGGGCTCACAGCCACCGAGGGTACCATGGCGACATGATGGAGCCGTACTTTGATAGGGAGAGGTTGGGTTCTGCCATATATGGGCAGGGGAGGAGAAGGGTGGAGATCCCCTGGTGGCGCTCTTTCTTGAGACAGGAGCCGGGCTCCCACTGGAATCAATTCCCCTCTCTGACCAGCTAACCCCTGCCCAGCAAGCACAGATCAGAGTGGTGCTGCGTTCTCACCAGCCGCTGTTCCCCAGCAGGCCTGGGTTCACTAACATGGATGCCACTGGGTGGAGACGGAAGTCAACCCTCCCATCTGGTGTTCCCCATTCAGAGTCACTGGGAAAACAGTACAGGAACTGGGAGAGAGAAATCAGAGACATGCTGGCCTTAGGGGCGATCCAGCCGTCTGCCAGCCCATGGGCCTCACCCGTCGTGCTGGTGCCCAAGAAGGATGTATCATTCAGATTCTGTGTAAACTGTTGGAAGCTTCATGCCATCACCGTGTCCGAAGCCTACCCCATGCCTAGGCCTGACGAGATCCTGGACAAGTTAGAGGGGGATGTTACCTCAATACTGTGGATCTCACCAAGGGCTATTGGCAGGTGCCTTTGGACCCAAACACCAGGCTGAAATCTGCCTTCACCACCCCAATAGGGCTCTTTGAGTTCCTGGTCCTACCTTTCAGCCTCAAGGCTGCCACATTCCATTCCACCTGGTGGATCAATTGCTGAGGGGATGGAGAACTTTGCCCTGTTGTTCATTGATGACATCTGTGTCTTTAGCCAGATCTTGGAGGAACATATGTCCCAGTTGAAGAGGGTGCTGGGTCACCTCAAGGAGGCAGGACTGACTGTAAAGGTTGAAAAGTGTAAAGGGGGAAGGCTGAGGTGTCGTACCTGGACCACAAGGTGGGGAGCGGCCACATAAGGCCAGAGCCCGCCAAGGTGGAGGTGATGAGGGATTGGCCCATTCCCCAAATCAAGGAACAGGCACAGGCCGTTATTGGGATGGCGGGGCACTACCGGAGGTTTGTACCCCATTTTATCACCTTGGCAGCCCCCATCACTGAACGATGTAGGAATGGCAAGCCGAACAAAGTGGTCTGGACAGAGGACTGTCCCTGCCCTGAAGGAGGCTCTAAGCCAGGGCCTGGTTTTGGTAATTCCTTCCTGGTGTTCCCAGATGCCTCAGAAACAGGGCTGTGCGGTGCTGATGCAAGCTGATGCTCAGGGGCAGAGACACCCGATTGTATAACTGAGGAAGAAATGGCTTCCCTGGGAGCAGAACTAGGCCATCATAGAGAAGGAAAGCCTGGCCAACGTGTGGGCTCTTAAAAAGTTGCAGCCATATCTATTTCGGGGGCACTTTACTGTTTATATTGACCACTCTCCCCTGACATGGCTGCATCAAATGAAAGGGGCTAATGCCAAGTTTCTGAGATGGAGTCTGATCCTCCAGGATTATGATATGAAAGTGTTTCATCTTAATGCGAGTGCAGATCTTATGGCAGATGCTTTCTCATGGAAAGGTGTACCTGAATTTCCCCAGGTCACTGGCTGAAGTGACCCCGCTCAGTTTAGTCTGAAAGGGGGAAGAGATGTGACGAAATGGGCATTTTTCATAATGTTTTGTATGAATATGTTGTGTGCCTCAGTTTCCCCTATGTGTTGAATATTTAACTAGGTGGGGGGTATGACCTGGAACTGTGGGACCGCTGTGCCCCTTGAACTGACTAGCCTGGGGTGTCTCTCACAATGCTGTGCTAGTGACAAGCAGCAAACCCCTCCAGGTGCTGTTATCACTCAATCCAGCAGCATGTGAAGCTCCACATGCACGTAGCTTGTCTGAGTGCTCCCAGAGTCACTCATGAAATCTCACAGAGAAAGGCACCAACCAGATCCCCCCAGCTTCCAGTCTTGTACCTCAGGAATATACTGTCCTGCACTGTTCAAGATCCTTTCTTGAACAATTCAAATTTATTATTTGATTCACCACTTACTTCAAGGGAAAGTGGACATGCACAGCCCTTGTTACCAGAGCAGATTTACCAAACACTTCAGACAAACTCATTGGTAAGAATAAACATAAAAGTAAGTTTATTGACCACAAAAGATAGATTTTAAGAGGTTATAAGTGATAAGCAAAAAGTTCAGAAAAGTTACCAAAAGAAAATAAAAGATAAGCACGCAGTCTAGATCACGGGTGGCCAACCTGAGCTTGAGAAGGAGCCAGAATTTACCAATGTACATTGCCAAAGAGCCACAGTAATACATCAGCAGCCCCCCATCAGCTCTCTCCCCGAAGCTGTATAATGCTGTATAAGTGGTGAGGAAAGGACCCTGAAGAGAAAAGGACCCCTGCAATATGTAATTAACTGTGGATAGTAGCAGATGTTGCGGAGTGAGAAGTAGGTAGTTTTCTAAATAATGGCCAGCAGGTGACATGAGTCAAGAACTGGAAAGACACAGCTATGATAGCAAGAAGGATCCAATAGAGGACAGCAAAGAAACAGGCTGGGAAATCAACACTACATGGCAGCAGAGGAGAGGAACTGAGAGGGGGTGTCAGAAATACTGAGTAGTGACCAAAAGATTTTAGTAGCCAATACAATAATGGGAAAGCTATACTAGAAAAACGGCCACTAGGTGGCAGCATATATTGAATATTAATAATGGGGTAGGGCAAGTACATTATAACAGACCATCATCTTGACAGGTATCTCCCAAGAGTGAAAGCTGGTATTTGTTCATGATCTCAAATATTTTCCACATTGAATCATTAGACTTAATAAAAGATACAATTATACAAGTCATGCTGTACAAGTCCCACTGGGCATTGTTAGCTTCAAAGCTTTGGAGTCACAGAATGAACCAAGTGGAAGAAAGGTTGAAGTGGGACCGTACCAAAAACCGTGAAGACCGAATACAAATATGAGGCAGCATTTACACTTTTTAAATCGAAGGGGAAGCTCATTTTCCAAAGGTAGATCAAATGCACCAGTTCATCCCTTCAGGTTACTGCAGGTCTCTTCACTGAGAAAACATCGTTTTTGAAGAAAGAGGAGAGACAAGAACTTCAGCTGACAAACCTGAATCCTGGTGGCCAAACCCTAAGAAATAAGAACTGCTGAAATGGAATTAATTTGCAAACTAGATACCCTTAACTTGGGCTTGAATACAGATGGGGAGTGGCTGGGTCATTACACAAATTTAATCTATTTCCCCATGTTAAGTATCCTCACACCTTCTTGTCAACTGTCTGAAATGAGCCATCTTGATTATCACTACAAAAGTTTTTTTTTCTCCTGCTGATAATAGCTCATCTTAATTAATTGACCTCTTAGAGTTGGCATGGCAACTTCCACCTTTTCATATTCTGTGTATGTATATATATCTTCTTACTGTATGTTCCATTCTATGCATCTGATGAAGTGGGCTGTAGCCCACGAAAGCTTAGGCTCCAATGAATTTGTTAGTCTCTAAGGTCCACAAGTACTCCTTTTCTTTTTGCGGATACAGACTAACACGGCTGTTACTCTGAAACCAGAAGCTTTTGAGCGACACGGGGCTCTTCTTCAGGTGAGTATTAGCAGTTTTAGCCTCACCTTCCCACATCAGTGCCAGTCAGTGTTCATAGCACCATTTCACAGAGGTGGAGCTTCAGATCCATGTTCTGTGACAGGTCCTCAGTTGGGGAACTGCCCCACTGACACAAATGGAAATACCTTGATTTATATCACCTGGGGATCGGGCTCAGTGTGTGCCCCAATGGAGTGGGGAGTGGAGACAGAGTCTTACTAGCCCGGATCACACATGCTAGATTGTTTCTAGACTCCGAGTTCAGGGACAACATCTTCCACCCCCACCCCCAAGTGATTTATCATCCCAGCAACATTATGAAGTGCAGAGGGTCACTCCCCAGTTAGGGTTGCACATCAGCCTGGTTCTGTCCCTTCCTAAGATTCACCCCACAAAGAGCCATACTTTATTACTGCTACATAGTCAACATTGGGAAACAGAAAAGGCGCTGCCAGTCGCTCACCACGTCACCATCACCACCACAGGAACTAAGGGAGAATTTACTCCACTTCAGAATGTATGGCATAAACTGATCTCTTGTGAGGGGATGAAAATTATTCCTTCTCCTTCAAGGCACTGAAATGCTGAATATACCAGGATATATGGTTAGATTAATTTCTACTAATTCTACAAGGAAACTGGTGCATAAGAACACTAGACTGCATTGGAAATCCCAGTCCAACATTTTAGTTGAAGTATTTATTAATTTTGACTCCTAAGTCATGGCATGATTCTGGCCATTGCCAGAAGTGAAATACATCATTTAAGCATCATTATTAATCTCCTGTATATCACTAGAAGGAATATGACACTAAATAAAGAAATGGTCTGATCTGACTTATCGGTACTCGGCTACCAGAGAAATGGCCTGTTATATTAGTCATTGTTCTGACATGACAGAGGGAGGTCTACCTGGACAGCAATATTCTGTCCTCGGACTGAGACTCCTTGCACTTAGCTTTGAAATATACATTTAGTCTTAAAATTTCAGCCCATAACCAGGAGAGGAAGGGTAGTTTCTGAATATTTATGGAATTAAATCACAAACTTTTAACTATGTTCGTCCAATTGAATTGCACATTTTGTTTTATTGTTCCGAGATTAAACCCATGGAAGACAGAGACTGGAGAAATCAAACAGCTGTCATGGAATTCATCCTCCTAGGATTCGGGGATCTCCCTGAACTGAAAATTCTTCTCTTCCTGATGTTCCTAGTGATCTACATTGCAACCGTGGCTGGGAACACCCTCATTGTGGTACTCATTGTGACTGATCAGCAGCTTCACACCCCAATGTACTTCTTCCTGGGCAACTTGTTCTGCTTGGAGACCTGCTACACATCGACCATCCTGCCCAGGATGCTGGCCAGTCTCCTGACTGGGGACAAAACCATCTCATTCATTGGCTGCTTCACACAATTTTTTATCTTTGGTTCTCTGGCATGTACAGAATGCTATCTCCTAGCAGCAATGTCTTATGATCGGTATTTAGCGATATGTAAACCCCTGCACTATTCACCTCTTATGAATAACAGGTTTTGCCTCCAGTTGGCTGCTGGGTCATGGTTAAATGGTTCTTTGGCTACTGCTATCTTTGTCTTATTCCTATCACAGTTAACATTCTGTGGCCCAAATGAAATTGACCATTTCTATTGTGATGCCATCCCATTCATGGAACTCTCCTGCAGTGACACACGCTGGATAATATTGTTCCATCTCATACTATCCTGTGTATTCACCCTGCCTCCGTTCCTACTAACCCTGACATCCTACGTGTGTATCATTGCCAGCATCCTGAGAATCCCTTCCACCATAGGGAGACAAAAGGCCTTTTTTACCTGCTCCTCCCATCTCATTGTGGTGACAATTTACTATGGTACCCTAATGATTGTCTACGTGCTTCCAAAACACAATACATTAAGCCTCCTAAACAAAGTACTGTCTCTTTCCTACACAGTCATGACTCCCCTGGTAAATCCCCTCATCTACAGCCTGAGAAACAGAGAGGTTAAGGATGCCTTGAGCAAAGCAGTCAGTAAATATGTGGCTTTCACAAAAACATGCTGAGACTTTTCCTAAATCACCCAGGCAGCTTGAAAACCTCAGTCTATCAGCCCCCATTGAAATTAAGTTGAAAACTCCCATTGGAAATCTCAGCACTAATATGAAAAAAATGGAGATGATCTGTATGGAGTTACTGAGACAGTCTTCGTAGTCCCGTGCTGTCTCAATGTTACACAACATATAGGAAAGTGAGGTTGCGAACAGCTGTATCACTCTCTCATGTTCAGCACTGAGACACACAGTATGATTATATTTTTCTCCATGGTGTTGGCTAAATGTTCACCCTATGGAATGAACTTATACAGCGTCTGAAAATGCACAGAGCTGACATTGTGAAAGGCACAAAACCTGCTAATTATCCAAGTAAATCCCTGTGTATATCCCCTGTTCATGGCTTCTCTATGTTAGATAATAAAGTCTTGTAATCAAATTCAGACAGTCAAATACAAACAGAACACAATGGGTGACATCATGTTTGTTTCTGCCAATCATTTTTTATTCCCGTAAATATGAAATGGAGGATCCATCTGGAACTCAGGACTGTGTTGTCCATCTAACTGGAAGGACCATGGAGGAAAGTGGTCATAACCACATTCCCATCATGGAGTTTTTAACTGGGCACCAGGCAGAGTGACGACAATTATAACCATTTTTTTATTTCCATAAAAAGCACTTTTTGATCCAAATTAATGGTTGGACTATTAAAAATACTAACTCTGGTGCAGCAGAGATGGGGACATAAGCCTGGAAAATCTGCTACCCCTGAAATGGTGTTTATTGCCATCATACCCCTCTGCAAACCCACCACCTTCACTGCACTCATACAGGCTAGATGCAAACACCCAAGCCTCAGCAGTGACCTCTGGACACTTCACCAGGAACAGCTTCATAGCTCTTACCTGGGCTACACGCGGCTGTGACCAGTTCTGGCAAAGCACCAGGCCCAGGCTCACAGGGCCCTTGGAGGCTGGGAGGCTGGGCAAACAAAGAGCTGCACTCACAAGCCAGGGCCACTGGAACTGTCGAGACCCAGCTGGGGGTTTGCCAGGGTACCCGTAGAACTGGGGCCATTCCTAGGGTCAGGTCTGTCAAACGGGCACCAAGGAGGGACTTGGCATGTGGCCCTGCAGGGCAGAAGCTGCTTTGCTGCTGCCAATGTTACAGAGCAGTTCAAAGGGAGGGGACTTGTTACGTTGAGCGTCCCCAAAACTGACTGCAACAAGCACCTGTCCCGAGAGGGCTAGTTCTCAGCGCACGATGCCTAGCCAGTCCTATGTGCCTTAGACAGCTCCACTGCACTCAGGGCCCTCCCCTTGGGGCGTGAGGCAACCTACGGTGAGATGCAGCAGCTACCACCTACCAACGGGCAGAACTCCTATGGTGCCAAAATGGCAGTGCTGGCTCAGTCACTGGGAGCACTTCAGGGCTTGGCCAGAGGCAGGGAGGTGGACACCGGTGAGAACAGAAGGACTTCAGCACTGCGGGAAGGATTTTCCAAGGGCCCTAATGGAGTTATGCACCCAAATCCCTG